ACCAGGAATCGGACTTATGACCTTGCGCTTTCCAGGCAGGCGCTTTGCCGCTGAGCTGAATCCCCAGCCCCCTTCCAGTCGTTCTCTAGCCATGACTTGCAATTATTTCCAAACCCATCTTAGAGCTGATGAACAGACCGTAACTGCCTCCTAACCTACTCATACCACTGAGTTGCTCACAACCTGGAAAGAGAGACTGGCAATCTTTCCTTTCTTGAGTATGTTACTTTTTAATGTCTCCTAACATGTATCTTAGTTTAACAAGCACATAATAGGCATGATGGGATTCAACGGATGGAAAGTTAAACTAAGGATGCATTTAACTTTAATTTAATGCTATTGATGTGATTTTAAACCACATTCATGCTTAGTGAAGATACTGTTAGCCAACCTAGTAACAGACATGGCTTCCAGAAATACTTCCTTGGTTCATCAGATGGATACAACTGCAAGTGGAGCACAAATATTTCTCATTTAATGACATACATGTTTAACTACAGTTTGAACTTAACGACCAAGGCACATTGTTTGCACTTATGACCTGTCTTTTTCTTTTGTACAGTTTTGCACATCTAGTTTATAGACCCTAATGTCTTTTTTGTACAATATATTTAGTTTACATAGTACTGTACAGTACTGTAGTTTTATGTTCTGTTATACGTTACAGCACTGTATGCTAGAGTTACACAAATAAAAGCAAAGTCATCAAGTTGGAATTTCCTTTGACCTTTTTTTGTTCTGGATATTGTAATATACATATTATGTAATAAAATTCTTCATTTAGTGACCAATCTATCTAACAACCTAGACATAGGAGTATATTTTTTGTCATTAAATGAAGAGTGTCTGTATTTGGTTCTTACCTTTACATTGTTAGAATAAAAATGATTGCAATAATGTAATAGGCACAGTAATAAATCAAAAGGTAGAATTTTTTTTCAAAATTCCTACATTTGTAGGCTGCACAATGATAACTATACCATGGGGAGTATGTATGTGAAGTAATGTGTTTTATGTATCTCAACCATCAATAAGAAAAAGAAGTTTTGATTACCCATGATAGATAAAAGAATTATTATTCTTCACGTGAAATTTTTCATACCACTGTAACACACAAAAAGCAAAGAGCATACAGCAGAAAAGTAGAAACAAGTATTATGGGTATATGGTAGAAGTTAATAAAAGCATTTATTTTTTGATTTTATGATGTTTGTTGTATTTTTCCACATTTAAAGCTGCATAATTGTTGTGATTTCTTCTCTCCCTTTACAAAACAAACAAAAGAAGCAGAAGCAGAAGCAGAAGAAGAAGAAGAGGAAGGGGAAGGGGAAGAGGAAGGGGAAGGGGAAGGGGAAGGAGAAGGAGATGGAGAAGGAGAAGGAAAAGAAGAAGAAAAAAGAAGAAAAAGAAGGCAATTGTGATTTCTTCTCTCCCTTTCCAAAACAAAACAAACAAAAGGAGAAGAAGAAAAAGAAGAGAAGAAGGAGAAGAAGAAGGAGAAGGAGAAGGAGAAGGAAAAGAGGGAGAAGAAGGAGAAGAAGGAGAAGAAGGAGAAGTAAAGACATCTGTGCTTAATTTTCTACTCAAAACGTATTATTTTTATCTGATAGTCTTCTAAGCAAGTGGTATAAACTTCAGGGCCCACAAAACCTAGGCTCACTCCAGGGAGAGATTCAGATGCCTTCATAGTGTTACACTTTAGGACTAAAGTAGTCCCTGAAGCTTCATGTGTTTAGGAACATATCATAGGGGCATTAGAGCTGACTTGCTACTAGGAGGTGGAGCCTAGGCAGAAGAGATAGGTGACCGTGGGCATGACCAGAAGGGTGTAGCTCCCTTCCCAGCTCCTCCCTTGGCTCTGTCCTTCCAGGATGCCATGATGTAGGTGGTTTTTCTCGATCAGGCCCCTCTGCCATGCTGTTTCTGTGTTTCCTCCTGTTGAACATGGACCAAAGCATCTGAACTGTGAGCCAAAATAAACCTCTGTGAAGTTACTGGTGTAGGGTATTTTGTTCCAATGAGAAGCAGGTAACCAAAATGCATAGTGTGGCTCTAATGACCTTCAGAAACCACATGAGCATCTCAAATGGAATCAAGAAAGCATGGCTTCCTTTTTGTTGATTCTAAATATGGGTATAGAATTTGGAGGAAGAAAAAGACCTGGTTTGGCTTGGACATGGTTCAAGTGTGTCTTCTAAAGATTCCTGTGATGCTTGGTATTCAAATTGATGATGTTAATAGCCTAAATTTGGCACTTTTTAAATGTTTGGCCTCAAGGGAGGCTGTGAGTCAGATTGCTCACTGGGAGGGACTTAATGCAATTGCCATGGGAATGAAGTCATGCTTGGGTTTCTGTTTCATTATGTGATCTGTCACAGATGTGCTCCCTCCAGTGCAGTGACACCTTCTGTGATGTTATCAGGAACCAGCAGATGCTGGCATCCTGTCCTTAAACCCACACAACTGTGAGCAAATGAATGTTTTTTCTTTGCAAAATTACCTAACCTCAAGTACGTCATTACAGTAATGGAAAACAGATTAAGGCAAGCTTTAAGCTTTCGGGCATATCCTAAAAGGATCTCATGTTTTGGGTGAGGAATCTGAGGTGGAGAGTGAGTTTGGCCTTCTCCAGGGTCTCAACCTGTTTGGGCTGCTGACACATGAGGAAAGGGAAGGCAAGTATTGCAGCACCCTTGAACAATGAATGGGGCACTCAAGTATTTGAGAGGTTGAGAAAGGAAGAGAAAGTTCCAAAATTGTACTTTGTTCACCGATGTGATGGAACTGAAGTGCAGAGAATCAGAAGATCCCCCAGAGAGGGATGCCCTTGGACAGTGTTCTTCCAGGAAAGCAAGAGATGATTTGAAGAAATAGCACAAGTTAAATTCATTTGCTTTATGTTTCTTTCTGCGTTTTTTGCGGTACTAGGTACAGAAGCCAAGGTCTTCACATTGAGCTACATCCCCAGACCTCATTTTTATGTTGACACAGGACTCACTAAATCACTAAGTTGTCCAGGCTGGGCTTGCACTTGTGATTCTCCTGCCTCAGCCTCCAGAGCACTGTGATTCTAGATTGTGCATATTAAATTCTCAACTTTTAAGAAAGGTCAGTCTTGGAAGACATTGACCTTTAGATGACGGACACAATGGTATTTCAATTAGGAGGCTTACCATATGATATACATAGTTCATGAATATAAAATTATAATCTTATTCTTAAAAAGCACTATTTCAGCACTTCATATTTGCTACACTCCTCTCTTCTCTCTTCCTCCCTGTCTGTCTCTGTCTCTCTCTCCACCTCTCTCTCGTTCTAATTTTTCCTGTTTACACACACACACACACACCCTGTGGAGTTACAGGTTAATAAGTTTGCAGTCCAGAGCAGCTAATAACAGGACAGAATTGGAACTAGCAAGAAGACTTCTTCACCTTCTTGGTGTTTTTGCTTTATATCATGTCTCCAAGACTAAGGAAAGGCTCTTTGCTGCCTTTTCATTTATTAGCATGGTAAGAGCAGATGTAGCTTTATGTACAAACACATAACTGCTTAGCTGGTGTGACTGAAAGGAGGTCAGTCTTGCCTTGATGACAAAATTTTCCTACTAACTCATTTCTTTTATCCGGTCTTCTTGTCCTAATGACTCAGTGGCACACATTGGAGGATTTTTAATAATTGCCAGTATTGTTGTGTGAATGAATTACTCATTTTAATTATTTCTAAGTAAAGTAAGACAATAAAAAGAATATTATGGTTTCTATTTTTTCATAATTTTTGTGCTTGTAAATTATTTTTAAAAATTTTATTTTATTTTATTTTATTTTTATTTATTTATTTATTTTTTGGTTTTTTTCCAGTACCGGGAACCGAACTCATGACCTTGCGCTTGCCAGGCAGGCGCTTTGCCACTGAGCTAAATTCCCAGCCCCTTAAAATTTTTATTTTAAAGATAAACTAACAAAACAACAATGAAGACAAAATCAAAACAACACAAAAACAACAAAAACGATACATGACCTCAAAACAAAATGATAGGAATTAACGATAGTTGCTACATTACATACTGCTATCTTCAGCGAAGTTGCTCTGTCCACCAGATGTAAGAATGTAAGATTGGTCAAACAATCAAAGACAGTAACAATGTACTTATAAATTACTGGAGTTAGTATATTACACTAAAATTTACTTAATGTTTCCTTTTCATTGGCTATTTTACAATTAGTAGAAAGCATTTTAATAGTCCTAATTTTTTTTTAGAATCACATAATTGTATCGGTGTAGCAAATCAAACTCTGTAATTTTTATCAAAATAGTTTTCTTTGATTTTCATGGATACCAGGAATTTTCTTATTAATAGTTACAGTCTTCATAAAAACTCTCATTTGTTGCTTTATGTAGTAGATTACAAGGAGTTAATGCCAGGACAATCTCATTTTACCCTCATGAACAATCTTGTCGAATGAGCAACAAAGGGATTATTATTAGCATTTGCAAACCAAGGAAACAGGTCCACAGAAAGCAAGTTTTTTCCAAAGTAGGGAAGTGGCAAGACCAGTTCTCAGAGTTCTGAGTTCAACATACTTGTTCTTAAAGTACTGTGGTTACTTTACTGCCCTCTTCACATTTCTTATGAAAAATAGCCTCTACACAGGATTCCACTATTATGAAGTACAAAACATTCCTTAATCCTATATTAAACGAGAACTATAGCGACCCAAAGTGGTATCCGGCACTTGAAAGCGAAAGTGAAGGGGTTCCGTATCCCAGAGTGTAGATCGTTACCAAGTGTTATGAGAAGTGAAAGATCTCTCCAGGGCGGATCTCCTTTCTGAAATATAAAGTTAAGTGAAGGGAAGGGTCTTCTCGATTCATGTTAAATTGAACATATTCCTACAAAATAGGTTTCTTCATTTTGTCTATGCAAATAATATCGGGAAGAACAAGAGCAAGCTCATTTGGGTGGTACAATAGTGGTTCTTTATTTTTTTTTTTTTCAGCCCACAAACTCCAGGAAAGTCATCACCGTTGATCATCTGGGCCTTTTGTATTTCCCTATCTCTGTCTGTAATCAGTGTGCTGACTCCTTAATGGATGGTAACGGGATCTTGTTGTGTGGATATCTTAAACTTTCACATTTTTGATGGATGATTTTACTTATTGCTGTTATGTGAAATAATTGTAACAGTTTATTATATTTTTATCTTATCATTGGCCATGCAGGCTATAGGTAGACTCTAAATCAAAACCAGAAAGAAACACAGGCCACATTACTTGTAGTATCATTAGCAATGCCCAGCTCCTTTTCACTGGTTTGTTATTTTCTAAGATTCAAATATCATGGATCAATTTTTGCCATTTTCTAGACATAAGTGCATGAGTATCTACTGGCAAATTTTCCCCTTGTCCTTCAAGAGTAGGGCCTGCAGGTGTTCCCTTTTCCGTTATGTGTCAGTTATTTGCCTATGTTTGACTCTACTATTCATAAAATATCTACAGAATGTTTAACCCATATTTTAATGAGAAATAAATTTATCAAATATTCTATGTGGTGCCATTCTTGTTGTCTTTAGCTTTATATTATCTGGTCAAATCACTGTTCTCCAAAATTATGTAGAGCACTCCTCCCCTCACTATATTTTGTGCACTTGTTTTATTTGTTTCTGATGTAGTTTGATTCATTTGTTACAGATTATGTTTTATCATGATTTCCTTCTATATCTTGGCTTATTTAAAATTTATGTGAAGTGAAAATTTCCTCTTTGTGGTGTACACTTTCATGGATTTGGAGTATATATGGAATCAGGTATTCACAAGATACTGCTTTTGTTAATTTCCTTCTCTCCTAATTCTCAAATCCCTGGCAACCACTGATTTATTGTCCATCTTTATAGTCTTATCCTTTTTAGAATATAATGTAAATGCAATCATGTACTATATTGCTGTATACTTAGGGAAACATGTAAGAGTCCTCTGTGTCATTTGTTGAATTATTAATTTTCCTTTTCAGTGATGCATAGTATCCTATTGCATGTATATAACCCAGTTTATTTATCTTTTCATTCATTAAAGTACATTTAGGCCATTTTCTACCTGGTCTTCACAGTAATGAATAAAGTGACTGTGAATGTTCACATAGAAATTTTTGCAAGAATATAACTTCCTATTTCTCTAAGTTAAATGATAGCACTATTGAATCATATTATAAGTTAATATTTTACTTTATAACGGTTTTGCAAAGTGTTATCCAAAGTGGCTGTTATGGTTTGTGTCTGGGTGTCCCCCCAAAGCCTCATGCGGTCATGGGGCAGGCTTTTAGAGTTTGATTGATTATGGGTGTGCGAGCTACACCCACCCAGGGGTGAATAGTTTGCATATGTAAGGGAGAGAAAGAGGCTGCTTGCGGCTCTTCCTCGTTTTTGTGCTTGCTGCTTTTGCTGTGTTCTGCCGCCATGAGCTGTAGCCCTCTGCCATGTGCCACTCTGCCTTGTTACCTGCCAAGTATGGACTGAAACCTCCACAAACTGTAAGTGAAATAAACCTTTCCTTCTTTAATTTTGGGAGTCAGGTATTTTGTCCCAGCAACGAGAGAAAAGTAACCAAGACAGTGGCCATACTATTTTTATTACCACCCCTTATATGAGTATGTTACTCTCTATTCTCACCAGCACTTAATATTGTCAGGTTTGTTATTGACATTATAATAGATACGCAGTGGTCAAAGCATCTACTAGATAAAATTTATATGTTTTTCTGTGATCATATCAGGATAAATTTCTCCTTAATACATTCTTCATCTTTCTGACAGTGAACATACTTAGAAAAACTTCCTAAATTTTTCTTTGCCCATTTATGTTTTCTTACATGATGTCTTTGAATATATGATAGTGAGATAGTATATGTAAACAGAATCTACTGGCCTGAAAATTTGGAGTTATGTCTTTCCTAAATGAAGGCAATATTAGAAATAAATGTGAAAAAGAGTATAAAACATTTAATTGAGAAGAGTTACATAAGTGAAGGATTACCATTCCAATCTGTTATCCTATTTTAATATTCTTATTAACTGGGGTTACATGGAAGAATGTCAACTAACTGAGAACTTGGTTTAATGAGTCAAGAAAGAAGGTAAGGATGCACATTTGAAATGCCTACATCTATGTTTGAAAACTTCTTATGTCAAAGTCTCTTGAGGTGTTGGAGACAGTACACAAATAGATAATGGTCCATCTACATATAAAAATAGAAACCCGATTAACAGGCTGCGTCAACTAATCTGGGAAGCAACTTGTTCCTTACAGTAACCAGGCTAGGAAGTTTGATTACTACTTAGACCCAATAATCCAGGGGGAAAGACAATCACAAAATCAGCTCCAAATGGCCTGAACTTTATTAATATCTGACAACTTCTCTCATTTTTGCCCCTGCTTCCAAATGAGGACCAACTGGAGGAAGTCAAGCATTTACCTTTTACCAACCACACAGGATATTCTGCTTTTGTTAGCACCCTCATAGCTTCCTTATGCTGACAGTATCCAATCAGGGCATATCAGAAACCTTCCTTGTTTATCCTCATCATCAGGATTTTCTTCTACTCTGCTTGCTTTTGAGTCTTTGCCAAATGCAATGCTGGTGGTGGACTCCCTTGTTATAGCAAGTTCTCAATAAATAGACTTTGTATACTCTCACTTAGATATTATTTATTTATTTATTTATTCTCATAGGTGTTTTTAAAGAATTTATAGTCCTAGGTCCCACGCAGACTCACCAAATCAGAATTTCTAAAGAGAAGGCCCAGAAGTCTGAATTTTAAAAAGCTCCCCAGGGTGATTCTTGTACACACAGTGTTTGAAAACTTGTACATCTAATGGCACTTCACAGAACTTCATCTAATATTCTTATAAACACTTGGATGAAGATAGGAATGTCCTTATGAGACTGGTGATTGTCATAAGCCTGGGAATCTTAGCTACTAGCTAATGTAGTAGATATCAGAGTCAAAATGAATTTTCACGCAAAACTCTGGAAATATGAACTGAAATTAATTAGATAAGTTCTAATAGGAACTCAAATGATCCTGTACTTAGGTTTACTTTATGTATAAATGCATGTGCACTTGTGTACACATAGCCATATGTGAAAGCTGGGCAATGACTGATCAATGGACATTCATCTGAAAATGACCTATAAAAGTGGGTTGATAATACCAGCATTTAAAATTTATTATAATGTACAGATTTATAACTGCAAAATCTATAAAGAGAATTCATAATTTCATCATATCCTGTTCTTGTTAGCCTGTCTAGAATATTGTGCCTGGTTCAGGCTTCACATTTTAAGAAGAACTGGAGTTTCTAAGGAATATTGCTTAAAATAACTCAAGTAGCAGGATATTTAGTCACCCTGTAACTGAATGTTAACTGAGGTTCAAATTCCTATGTTATTCATAATCCATTCTTTTGTCATTGTTTCTATAAAATAACCTGAAATAAAAAAATCCTGAAATGCTGTCCTCAAACAGAGAAGAAAAGGAAATTTATATAATCAAATAATTCTATTGGGAGATATGAATGCATAAAAGATTGTAGTGTGCATTTTTAATGCAAAAGCATTCAGGACTTCACCAGATTGACAGCAGAAGACTAGAGCCGTGCATCTGCTATAACTCTGACACTCCTCTCTCAACATCCAAATGATCTGAATGTAGAAGTTTTGGGTTTTCAAATTCATCTGCTTCTTCAAGACTAGAAAATATATGCAGTCTGCTATCTGCTTTTTATTTTATCTTACTCTCCCATTCATGCATTTATTCATTTTTTGCACACATCTTCTGTTTGATAAATATAGGGCGTTTTCAGTTGTGTATACTATACAATGACTAGCAAGCATGAGACCTTGAACTAAAGATCCAATCTAATGAGAAAGGCAAGACTTTCAAACACATAAAAAACATAGCAGGAGGGAGAGGGCAGAACTCTTTATACTTATAGTGTCTTTACCTGTCCTCTGTCTGCGGTATAATCCTGTACTGTTCAACACAGTAGTCTAAATACTAGCTAGTCTAGATTGAGATGCATGACAAGCACAAAAAACTTAAAGTGTCCCATTAATATTCTATATTAAAATGAGAATATTTGAGATATATTAGGATTAAATAAACATAATACTGTTTTCACTTGTTTCTTTTTGCCTCTTAAAGTCTAGTTACTAGAAAATTTAAAATTACTGATGTAGCTCTTGACATCTCTTTTAGTGCTTCTTCTTTAAAGTCAACATTAATGGACACAGGCGAGGATGTGAGATTTTTGCATCCTATTTCCACTGCTGTGGGGCTTAAACAGAAGAGAATAATGATAATGATAAGGCTACTGGACTGGAGGTGCAGCTCAGTGATAGAACACTTACCTACCATGTGCAAAGGCATAGATTTGATCTCCAGCACCAAACAACACCAAAACAAAACAAAACCCCAAGTCCACTAACGCTAAAAATCAGTGATACTTAATATAGTGTTTACTAAATTCCAGAAACAACTAAGTGCTTTAGATATATTAATTCATTTAGTTCTCAAAGCAATTTGGCCAGACAGTTATTACTATGGTCTCCTATGTATAGGTGAGGATACTGAATCATAAAGAACTTATGTTAAAGTGCTTTCTTAGAACAGAACCTGGAAATTATTGCTAATAGTAAGAAGAATGTTAAGAATAGTAGCTGAAGATTCACTTCCGGCATAAGTAGTAGCCAGTAGAACTGCCACCAGTTCACAGGCAGGGAAGGGTAGATAAAGTTAGTGGGAAAAGATTTTGTTACAGAAAATGTAATATTTAATAAATGCTATGATAGTGATTTTCAACTGGTGGCAAATTCTTCTGGTAATAGACAGTATCTGGAGATGTTTTTGTTGTCACAACTGAGGAGATACTACTGGCATCTAGTGGGTAGAGGCTGGGCATGCTGCTAAACTTTCTGTGATGCATAGGAAAGTTCTCCTAAGAGACAATTAGTGGTCCCAATGTTGTAGTGTTGAAGGAAGAAACTATGATATGGGACTGGAAAAAGTAGAGATAGATGAATAAAAAAGAAAGAATGAATAGAAAAATTAATATGATTCATTTTTAGTCCTATTCATGTATTTCTTGGAAAGATGATAACAAAGCAGAAAGAAGATTCATTTTAATATAGTCACAACAAAAGTAAGTAAATGTTAATTATGTCAGCATAATTCTTAGCAAGTTAGAGTTTAGGTAGTGACACAAGATCCATGTTTAATGATTGCCTGCTATTCCCAAAGGAGTGAGAACACTGGGCTCCTCTATTCCTGGCCAGTGCCTAGCTAATAAACAGCCACAGTCTGCTTTTGTTTTTTTCGTTTCATTTTTTCTCTGTGTGATTTAGAAAGTAAGAAGTATATCAGCCACTCCTCTCTCCACCACAGTGCAGAAATTAACTCTGGTGTTTGGGTTATAATTCTGAAGATTTTTTGAGCGCAGAATTCTATTATTTCTCACAACCTTGGATGAGATCTGAAAGTGAATTGTCGGCTAGAAATAGAGTGAGAAGGGGCTTGGGTTATGAATCATTAATTTATTCCTATTTAACAGGCTTTCCACATTGACTTTAAAGGATACAATTTTCTAGGGCTGGAAGGGCCATCTCCCTCT